CACTTAACTAATCTAGACCTCAGTCTCCTCCTCGCCAAGATGAGGGGATTGGACAAGACGGGTTCTATCCAGTTCCAGATCTGGGATCATCTTTATTCTCCCTCTTGCCCTGCTCCTCCCAGAAGGGAAAGAGAGCACAATGTGAACTTGGGTAGGGCTGGACTGGGGGATGCTAGGCTGACATGGGGAAAGGTGGGGCTTGTGACCTTCCAAATTAGGCCTAATAGGAAAAATGATTCTGTATTGTCCCCAGGTAAAATAGTAAAGTGAGCAAAAGTTTGTTTTTCCTCCTTCCTTTTCTGAATCTGTTGTTCACCTATTTGAAGTCTGCCTCTTACTACTTGGTGTCATGCTTCCCTCTGGCTATTTGAAGTCCCTCATCCAAATCAACCTTCCAAAAGTTCTGGGCTAAAAATAACTTGTACTAAGGTATGAATAAGGCTTAATCTCAAATGGGGGGGTCCCATACTGAAAGGGGCTTTTGTTAACCCCAAAAAATCTTCAGCAGTGGGTTTTGTCTCTGCCTGGTGTTCTTTCTTCTCTGCTAAGAGGTCCTGCAAGCCCCCCGGGCCCAATAAAATGAAGGTTCATTTATTGCTTAGAGACAGAGAGAGTACTTTTGGTTTGTGATAGCCCCTTTCTAAAGATGAGGATGGAGCATATCCTGGAGTTGTCCCTGGGCCATTCAGATGAGAGCTTGCCAGGCCTTTCGGTCATTAGGGTTTTATGGCCAAATGTTTCTTCTGGGTAGAATGGGAAGGAATTTTCTAAATTTTTGCTTAAAGAGTTGGAGTGTCCTGCAGTTCGAAATGACCTTACTGAGTTTCCTTACATTACTGATTACTCTAACAAATGTAAAACATGCATACATGGTTCAGTGATTTCATTATTCACAAAATCTTGTTGATCTGCTTTTCTCACCCGTGGGATTATTTGACACTGTCAATTGCATACATTTTTTCATTGGGGCAATTTGAGAAGCGGCCTGCGTTGCTGTCATCACCTCCCCTTCTCAGGGGGAGCCCTGAGACTCATCCTTTCAGGGGTTCCTGCTTGCTAGAGTGGGAAAGGCTTCACCCATATGCCATGCAGCGTGCAGGGCTGAGGTCATGTGCGAGCCCCCAGCTCAGGCCCCAGCCTGAGGTCTACCTACCTGGGGTCTACCATGTTCCATTTGAGTGAGCTCAGTGCAGCTCTCAGAAATGTTAGGGGCTCTAGCCTTAAGAATACTTTCTCAGATACTAGGGGACAGTGTCTACCACAAAGATTTACCTTTTGCATTATAACTATAGATAGAGGTATTGTAATTTTTCTAATATTATTTAAGGACAGCTCAAAGTACTTAAGCAATTTAACACCAACTGGTTGCTGATCCAGATAAACTATGTATGTGGTAGTTATGCTCCTGAATTCTGGAGCTTGTAGGCCAGAAAGCCTGCTATCCTAAAGGATCAGTAATGGGGTCCACATGTTGGATGACCCAGTGTTGTAAGAATAACGAGTTGACGTTTCCCAAGCACTGTAAGGAGAAAGACTTGGGCTGAAGAAAGCCATAGAAGTGTGAACGTGGTTAGGAGACCTTCATAATTGTAAAGAAAGCCAGAAATTGAATCTGGGAAGACTTGGGAAAGTTTGAGAGAGAAAAAAGTTAGGATGAAGGAGAAGTGCATCATGATCAGCAGTAGCAGCACCATGATGATGGTAATATTTATAGTAAGAATAATAGTTAACATTTATGTAATGCTTATTGTGTGCCAGGAACTGTGCTGAGAAATACCTGACAATTATTATTTCATTTGATCTTGAGCTAAAGGAGAAGAATGATTTGAAGAGGAGGATTCAAGGAAAAGTTAGTTAGCTGGGCAAGGTAAATGGTAAGAAAGAGTTTAGCTGCTAAGGTATTCACTAAGTGCCAAAGAGGGGGCCTACATTTGACAGTTGGGAGCAGTTTGTCATAGATGTTTTCCAGGGTGGCTCCTACAAGAAAAAGATTAGGAATAATACCTCATTTTTAGTAAATATGGAGAGCAGAGAGAATTCTTTGGTGAGCCTTGGGTATGTGATGTTTGTATTTCTTCTCAAAATGCTTGCTTCTTTCTTTCATAGAATGGAAATAAACATTTATTAAGGGCCTGCTGTGTATCAGACACTGTGCTAAGCGTTGAGGATACAAAAAGGGCTAAAAGACAATCATTGTCCTCAAGGAGCTTATAATCGAATGGGGAGACAAGATGCAAATATATATACAAAGCAATCTATATACAGGATAAATAGGAAAAAATTAATGGAGGGAAGGTAGTAGAATTAAGAGGGATTGGGGAAAGCTTCCCATAGAAGGTGGGATTTGAAGGAAACCAGAGGTCAGTACTGGGAGCAGGGGAGGGGGAGAACATTCCAGGCATAGGGGACAGCCAGAGAAAATGACTGGAGCTGGGAAATGGAAAATCTTGTTTGTGGAGCAGCCAGGAGGCCAGTGTCACTGGATGGAACAGTAGGAAGATGAGCAGCCTTCCTTAGAGTGTCCATCTTCCTCTTCTCATTGGTTTTTTTATTTTTATTTTTTATTATTTTGATTTATGAATAATCACTTCCATATGCTTTTGAGTTTAAAATTTTTCTCTCCTTTCCTCCCCACCACCCTCCCCAAAATGGCACACAGTCTGATACGGGCTATACGTTTACATTCATGTTAAAGTATTTTCACATTAGTGATGTTGTAAGTAGAAATTAAAACCAATAGGAGGAACCATCAGAAAGAGGAAACAAAACTCAACAGAAAAGAAAAAAAATAACAATTCAACTTCCATAGTTCTTTCTTTGGATGTGGATAGCATTTTCCATCCCAAGGCCTCTGGAGATGTCTTAGATCCTTGTATTGATTGCCAGGAAGGGTTAAGTTTATCAATATTAGTCATCGCACAACGTGGCTGTCATTGTATACAACATTCTCTTGGTTCTGCTCACTTCACTCAGCATCTGATTGTTTTTAAGCTGTAATTGTAGCGTTCTCCTTTTCCTTTGGCTTCCTCTCTGGGTTACACTCTCCCATCTTCCATTTCAGATTCCTCCCCTTGCCCTCCCTTTTCCCCATTGAAGCCGGGTTTCTGTTTCCTTTAGGAACATCAATTCTGCTTAGCAGCCTGGAGTGTGGAGAGGCAGTCTCTGCACCCTGTGCTCTGGGAGGGAGATTAGACTACACTTGTCACACCAATAACAGCCCTTAGACTGTGGGAGAAGTACAAACATCACCCACTTGTGCAGTCAGTTTCCCCTTCTTTCCCTAATGGCTGAATTTTTTAACTACTTGTGGGTACGCTCATGCCTACTCTAAGCCTACCTGGTTAAAACTAACCAATGTTCATTTCATCTCTGGCAGCCATACCCACCAACCCCTGCCTTGCACCATTTCTGCCTGCCTGTCTGTTCTGCTCTTTCAGTTTGCTTTACCCTCCAATGATTGTTTCATTTCCCTTTTCTTAGCTTGCCTCGTGTTACCAACAGCTTTCCCTTTCTCCTGCTTGAGTCTCCCCCCTCAGGAGCTAATGTCTAACCCTTCTTGGTCTTCCTTCATCCTTCTCCTTTCTCAGCCCTGAAGTAAGACCTGGGCCTGAGATTGTCCTTCACATTCAGCTCACTTCCCGGTTACCCCCAGTTCAGCCTCTGACCTTCAGTCGTCTAATCTTCCCTCTAGATTAGCAGCATAATTTCCCTTTTATTCCATTCCAGTCCTTTCCCTTTCCTTCTCCCTCAGAAGCTGGAGATCAAAATGTCCAGCAAAGAGAGGAAACAAGGGGCTCAGGTTGCCAGCTCACGTGCGGTATTTGAATGCTTGCTACGTAGAACGAGGGGGAGACTTTTTCTAAACGTCTCATGAGAGCGGGATGGCAGTGTTTGATGGGCCTTTCAGAGGCAGATTTAGTTTTGATGAGGAGGAAAATGCTCTAAAGGATTTTCTCTCCCAAAGTAGATCCGACTTGTTGGGAGGTAACGGCATCCTCTCCACTAGACACAAAGTCTGCATCTTTTCTGTTGGGTGTGTCAGAGAGGGAATCTTATTTCAGTATGGCTCCTTTAGATGGCTCTGAGCTCCTTTCTTACCCTGATTTTGTTAAAGTTAATTGGGCTTTTCTGTGTCTTGTGAAAACAGAACATGAAGCTTAGGGAATTAGCTGGGGGGATAGCATAAAGTGGAATGGAAATCATAAGCCGCCTAAGAATCAGTAAACTCTGTATTATTGTTGTTGTGGCACTGCCACCTCCCAGTGCCCCTAGTCAGGTAACCCATGGACAAGTCACTTAAATTCTGTAGGCCTTGGTTTCACCATCTGTAAAATAAGGGGTCTGATTTGATAATTCTTTATTCATTTAAGCTCTGCAGTTCTCCGATCCTACTTACTCAGAGATGATGTGAAGGATAAAAGAAAACTATTTTACATATACATTGTATGTGTATATATGTTTATTAGAAGAAACAGAAGTTGCATTAAAGGTGGTTCTCTACATGTATCTCTGTGAATACCAAGACAGCCTGGCTTTCAATCCAGGAGGCTTCTCTCTGACTCATCCTGGTAGGTTGGGGCTCAAGGCCCACTGTATTGGAGACAGAGAAGGTGTCAGCCTGCAGTGTTAGGAGCTTGTATCCGTGTACCTCTGAAATCATAGGTACAGTACCCGGGAACCAAATGTGAGGTGATCTGGCCCAGCTTATCTCACAATAATCGAATATCACACCAACTCCCTTTGGTCTTTGTTGAGAATTTAATTTAGCTACGTCTGCGGGTCACTGAAATAATTATGACGGTATTTTAGTGGAGAAAACTATTTCCTGGTCTGTCAGTGGAACTTGACTTAACTGCTTATTAGACCAAATTTGAGAGAGGAGGAGTTTTCAAACTAACAGAGGAAGATTTGAAAAATATTCTATAAAATTCATAAGGGGGGAGGGGTGGGGATGAAATAAACTAATAGAAAATTAATTCCAAATTTTTTTCTTTCCCCAGTCTGTTCATTACCAACAGAGGTAAGTCTTTTTAATACTCTTATGAGCTTTTGCTGCTGTATTTTCGAGTTGTCTTGTTTCTAGAGTAGTCTTAATGAATTTTTAATTTTCTACCTTTGCATTGGTCAGTAGCATTAAACCTCTGGAGTAGTTTCATGGTCTTATGGATTTATGAAGATTCTTTTTCCCCTTAGCTTCTGAGAAATAACTCCTTTATTCCTTTTGGCTGTACAGTTAACATTTTTTTTTTTTAGTTTCTTGAAACTTAGCAATAGCAACCTAAGAAAGGTAGTAACTTGAATTTAATGCAACTCAGATGGTTGAGAACTAGGCAAGTGAGAAGACACTGAAAATTTAGGAACTCATCCTATTTTCTTTGTATTCCCTTGTCCTGTCCCTTTCTTTATGCCTGTCTCTGAGTTACGTAACTCTCACATCACGACAGTCTGTTTGATTGCAGGTTTCCTTTAGCTCTTTTCCTGTTGCAATCTAGGTTCCAGGTAGAAGAGTAGGGGAAATTACTGTTTCCTCACTGAATATAATTGTGGCATGTAAATTAAAATAATTTAATAATGTGCAGAGTTGACTCTTGTAATAGTGAAATTTGATCTTTTTTCTTCAGTACTGTGAATATATGCCTGATGTTGCTAAATGTAGACAGTGGTTAGAGAAGAATTTTCCAAATGAGTTTGCAAAACTCACTGTAGGTAAGAACATTTTTCTTTTTCTGTCTTCAAAGTTTATGGGGTATGTGTGTGTGTGTGTCTGTGTGTGTGTGTGTAAAACCTAATAACTTTTAATACCATAAAGTTTACCTTTAGTGGGATAATATCATCCAGACAGACTATATAGAAGATTTTGTTAAATCTTCTGGACTGAGTATTGTAAAAATCTTCTGGACTGAGTATTGTAAAAATAAAACTCAGTGAGGGGTAGCTATTTTATACATTTTTGTTTTTAGTAATTCTAAAACTTTTCATGGGAACTTTTGTGACCTCAAAGTTAAGTTTGGGTCTGTTAAGTTTGATGTCTCTGAGAAGGTGCTTACCATGACCTTGGGAGGCGGAAGCTGTCCTCCATGCTGCCATGCAGATGAGCATCTTTCCTCCTAAAGTATTGCCTCTGTGCAGGGCCTGTAGTCCTTTTCCCACCTGCTTTCAGTCTGTTTTTGGAGAACAAAACACTTATTCATCAAAATTGGCTCAGCAGGCATGTGCTAAATCCTGTTCTCCGAGTCTCTGCTGGTTTGACTGTTTCTCCTGTGGAATCTATAGCTATAACCTGAAGGGCTTTCAGAATTAGACAGCTTAGCACAATCAATTATATTTGTCAATAGTAGACTCTCTCTTTAGTGTAGACATAAAATAAAAACTCCTGCTTTATCCATAGGATCATTGTTGCCCTTCTGGAGGTGCACAAGGGTTGTGGAAGTTTGTGTAAATGTGAAAAAAGGATATTCATGCTTTTTCATGGTTGCTTTTTTAAATACAGAAAATTCACCTAAACAAGAACCTGGAATTGGGGAAGGCCCAGGAACAGCAGGAGAAGAGGAAGAGAAGAAAAAGCAAAAAAGAGGCAAGGCCTAAGTAGACCCTCATTGGGGTTCATTCTCTATCTCTTGCCCATTCATTGGTGGAAGTAGGAGGAAGGGAAATGCAATGACAAGATCTCTAGTTTGCAGACCCTTCCCAAGATAATGAAAGGTTCCTCGTTATAATTCCTCATGCGTGGTGTCATACAAGGAATGATACAGTCCCTAGGGAGAATTTGGATCCAGTCTGATTTGGGACCATTGGTCTCTTTCCCATAAGCCAAATTGGACCTTGGGGAAACAGGCTTCCTTTGTCCTTCCTTTGTACATGTCAGAGAAGACCAGCCAGCCTGTTTATAAACTGAAAAATTCCAGCTGCCTCAGTATGATTCAAATACCCATATAAATTAGAGTCAGGTCAGTGCTGCTGTTGTTTTTACAGGAATGCCTTTTCATTAGAATGTGTCTACAATATTAGACTCTGAGTGTGTGACAGAGTTTTTGTGTTAACTGCTTTTATGGAATACCTGTGTTTCCAAAATAAGTAAACAGCTGAGTATTAAGATTCCTTTAATATACAGTCCCACTCACATTTAATGAAAGTTGTTTTCAGTTACTTGTTTCATATAAGGCGGAGTAGGTGAGAAAGTAGGTCAAGGCCCTTCCGTTAAAAATAATAGTAGGGGCTGTGGCTCCCTGGTCACTGAGCACAAATGCTCTTGAATGGCTATCACGATTTAATTCTCATCAGTGATTATTTCAGGTTTCTTATGTTTTAAAATAATGATCTACTTTTTAAATCGAAGGCTCACCTGTTAGTCATAGACTGGAAAGGGACCAGACATGGTGTAGTCCACCCCCACTTGCCCTTTTCATTTTATGGCTAAGGAAATTAAAATTCAAAGAAGATAATTTCTCCTTCTTTAAATCAGAAAAGACAGGTGAACCTGAGTAAACACTGGAAATCCACTTAATGTTTGTTTTATATTAAGGGGGGAAGCATTATCAGAACTTGTAAGTGACTTCCTAACTTAATTCCATTCATTGTGGCTTTAAAAATTGGGATGTTTGTAATAAATTCCCACATGTATGTGATCATATAAATTCTGTAACAAGGAAAAGAAATAGGAAAACCTCACTCTTTTCAGTAATTTTCTTTAAATAGTAAATTTTAAGAATTTGAATTGGTACTTTAATTCGTATTTTTGCCTTAAAATCACAAATAACATGGTGCTTTCTTGTTAAAATAAAGGTGGAAGGGGTCAAATAAAACAAAAAAAGAAGACAGTTCCGCAAAAGGTTACAATAGCCAAAATTCCTAGAGCAAAGAAGAAATATGTAACAAGAGTGTGTGGCCTTGCAACTTTTGGTGAGTTCGGGTTTAAACACATGTCAAAGAACCCAAGTTTGAACTGTAGATTTACCTGTTTTGTCAGCTGTTCAGAAACCTTCACAAGCCTGTTGTTTTGTTTTCCTGAAACAATAAAAATCAAACTCCGATTTTATAAATCTGGTTTTAAAATTGGAACTTTTTGAGAAATTGGAAAAGTCTCTGCAGTTGGGGCCGTTAGGAATTTTTTCCTTCCTTGAGGGTCCGATTAAGGGGGAAGTTTAGCTCAGTATGAGGAGGGCCGGCTAAGATTCCCTTTGAAGCCTACCCATGCTGCTCCTCTGTCCTCTACAGGGTTGGTGGCAGAGGGTTGCAGAGTGGCTCATCCCCTCTGTGAGTGGCAGTGGAGGGTGAGGGAAAGCGGGTAGCAGCAGAATGACCCACCTTCACAACTCCTTCAGTCCCTGGAGGCCTTGAACAAGTAGTGAGACTGGGGTGAAAAATTTAACCAAGGTCTCTTCGTGTGACAACACGGATTGCAAAACAGTGGACTGGACCTCATTATAAATATCAAGGTCTGTTTCTCTGCTGGGAATGTTTCCTCTCTTTTTCCTTTTCAAGAAAAGAAAGTAAACAAGATATTTATTCTGATTTGGAGTGTATGTAATCAGTGTGTCCCTGAAACTTAATTTGCTGTCACTGTGTATGTACTGTATATACACACACATAGGTTTATGTGTGCGTATGTCTGGTATTGCTGTTTTTCAAGTAATGAGGTTTCATGTGACCTAGGAAGCATGTCAGATCATAAAAACTGGTCGCCATTGCAGTTTAGTGATCTCTTTTTTAAAATAGGAAAATAGAATGCATTAAGTAATTAATACAGTGAATTAATTGATACAAAAACATATATAAATTGGTTTTTATGAATTTGAAGTCAGGCTAAATAATGTTAAAATAGAAAAGATTTCTTGGTTACATTCCACTCTCTTCTCTTTTTTGACAGAGATTGACCTTAAGGAAGCACAAAGGTTTTTTGCTCAGAAATTCTCCTGTGGTGCCTCAGTTACAGGGGAGGATGAAATCATCATTCAGGGAGACTTTACAGATGACATCATTGATGTGATTCAGGAGAAGTGGCCAGAGGTGAGTATATGACAAGCAGGAAAAGACTCGGGGAAAAGAACATTGAACCGACAGTTCAGAAATCTGGATTTTCTGCCCCTGACTGACTGACCTTGGGCAGATCACTCCCCTTCCCATGCCCTGTTCCCCAACCCCTGGCCTCAGAGTCTTCATTTTAGATTCTGTGATTCCAAAGTAAGAATGTTGTACTCAGTGATTGCTTTAGCTCCCTCCAGCCCTGAAAGGATTTGATTTTACTGGTTGGGTAACCTTGGGCATCCCCACCCCTATCCCTTACTCAATTTTCTCACTTGTAAAATGAAGGTACTGAACTAGAAGACCCCTAAGATTCTTTCCAGCTCTAAATCTTTGATCTTATCACTTTAAAAAAAAACCCAAATGCCTTAATTTACTCTAAAACTCATGAAATATAATAATCTGTGTTTTACAGGTGGATGATGACAGCATCGAGGATCTTGGAGAAGTAAAGAAGTGATTTTAAAAATTTGTCTGTATTTAATGACCTGAAGTTATAGTTGATGTAGCCAAAGGGAGGGAGGCCTTTAAAAATATATATATTTATCCTACAGTAAAACTGTAGACTACCCTTATCCTTGGCATTTCACTGTTCTGTACAAGGCTGCTTGTGTTTTTTCTTTTGTTTTATTTTTTAAATTGCCAAAGTCCAATAAACTGGGGAAATCCATCATGCTTATGCATGAAATAGAGATTTAGTTAAATAAAAAATTTTGGTCATATGGTACTGACTTTTTTTTTTGTCCTCAGCACACTCTAGACTTTTTGTGGGGAGCATTTTAATTCAGCTGTTGCTATTTCAATTCACTGTACAATTTTTAAAAAGAATTTGGATGTCTTACTACCAAAGCCAGGCTCTTTGCTTCACCCTTAAGTCTCCAGTGTGTTAGCCTTCAGTGGGGCAGAAGGCAGCTTGTAGATTTGTTGTGGACTTTACTATTTGATTACCAACAGAAATCCATTTCGTACATTTATTAAAATGCTCATTTTTGACTATCGGGCCACTGAGGTTGAAAATTCTTCCCAAGATCTGCAAATACAGTGAGAATGAGATTGTCCCAAAACTCTAATGACTGTTTATACTTAAATCAAAAATATCAGTCTAGGAAAGAGCATTTGCAGTAACTGTTTTTTTCCAAAAGGAAACTATTAGTGATAAATTCAAACAAATTTATACTGTTTTTATAAAAGCCCTAAGCCAGGCATTGTAAACTGGAAAAAAGAAAATGTTGTCTTTTAGGATGCTATTAAATTTGGCAACTGTGAAAAAAATGCTGATTCTATTTTTTTCTCCCCATACAAATTGAAATCTTGAATGTACTGGCCTTTTTATAATTAAGATCTTGAAAGTAATATATAGTAAGGATGTAAATTAAGAAAGTAGACTTCTATTAAAAGTATGCATTTTACTAAACAGATATCCAATTAACAGCTGTCTAAAGCAAACATTCAGGAGAGACCCATTCAGCATGTGTGGTGTTATGTATTCTCTTGGTGCTGAAAGATGGCTCTGTGTGTGGCTGTGTCAACTTGTGAACTTTGTGTCAAGATACTCAGTGTTCAGGGTCCCTGGGAAATGCGTTTTCAGTTCTTAATTTGGCCAGCAATGGATGTCTCTGCAGGAAAATGTAGGATTAAAATGATCCTTGCCTATACTATTTGTGTACTTTTTTGAGTTTGTGACATATTAAAATGGAAATTTGATTAACCTTTTTCATAGCTTTAGTTGTGACTAAATCCAATGAACAGTTCTTGAAAAGGGTAATTCACACAAATTCCACTTGTAAGTCAGCCCTGCACTGTTTTTCCAGAAAGAACAGGGAACGATGAAGCAGCCCCTTCTGCCCTTTCCCCTCCTCTCCTGTCCATCAATCAATCACCTGGTAGCAGATACTTTCCCTCCACGTGGGCCGCTATCTTCCGATATAGATCTGTATACGAAGTGTTCTGTTTAGCGGCTGACACAAGGCCCTGGGTTTGGATTTCTCCATAGTCCCGATTACAGTAACGAAAAGTTCCTGAAATCAGTATTCTCAAGAGTCCTGCCTTTTAAAGAAGAGTAGCCTTTCCCGCGCTGCCCTTCGCTTCTGAACGCTGCCGGAGGTTTCCTCCCAAAAGAGAAGGGGCTTTGGGGGGAGGGGCAGCGGCCTGGGCGCGTCCACGGGCCCCGGGAAACGCCCTTGAAAGGCTTCGGGAGCAGACGGGCCGCCGGTCACCCCAGGAGCCTCAGAGCCCGGAGGGCAGGCCGGCCCCCCGCCGAGGCGCCTTCAGCAGGCCGCGAGCTCCGCCAGCTGCCCGGGTCCGGGATCTCGAGGGCCGCAAGTTCTCGCGAGAGCCAGGTTCGCCCTCCGGGCCGCGTTTGAGTCAGGAAGGCGGTTTGTGAGCACTGAGTTGGGCAGGTGAAGGTGGGGGCGCGGCCGCTTGAGGCCAGTCCCCGCGACCTGGCCGGCCGGTCTGGGGAAGGCAAGTCTATGGCGTTTCCAAGGTGAAACGCCGACTCCGACTTTCTCCCGAGGCGGACGGGAGCCACCACGCTGCGGCCACCTATGAACCCGAACCCATTCCCCCGCAAGGTACGTGCGGCGCGGTGCGGCCCCGCCCTGGCGCTCGATGCCGGGTCCGGAGGCCCCGCCCACCCGCCCCGCCTCTCCGGGGCCCAGGGCCCCGCCCCGCTCCTCTCCCGGCCGTGGCCCCGCCCCGGCGCTCATTGCCGGGGCCGGAGGCTCCGCCCTTGGCCGTGGCCCCGCCCCTGGCCCGCCCTCTGTCGGCTGGGCGGGCTCCTGCCGATCCTTCGTCGCTTCCTCCCCTCTGTGGCCTGCCGCGCTCTGCTCTTCGTCCCCTCGTCCACCACTCTGCTCTGCGCGCTCCTCTCTTCCCAGCCCCCATTATTAATCTTGGTGCCTTCCCTCCGAGACCATCCTCGATCTGTTCTGTTTCTTGTTGTGCAGCGCTGTTTGCGCGGGGTCCCCCATTAGACTGTAAGCTCCCCGAGGGCAGGGCTTAGCGCTGCCTGGCACCTAGCAGACCCTTAGATGCTACTGGACTGGCTGACCGTCCTTTCCCATTCTTCCTTCTCTCCCATTAGAACGCAAGCTCATTGCCTGGGAGTCTTTTCATTCGCTGCAGTTGCACACCTAGACCTTCCTTAGCTCATTCCTGGCACAAAGGAGGTGCCTGACAAATACTTGTTGATTTATTGATCTCTTCTTTTTCCCCCTTTTTTTCTTTCGACTTTCTCCTCTCTTCTTTCCTTCTGTATTTTCTCTGCCCTCTTTTCTCTGCGGTTCCCTCCCTCCCTTTCTCTCTACTCTCCCCTCTTTCTATCCTTTTCCCATCCTCTCCTGTCCTCCTCCTATCAATCAGTTAATCAACAAGCATTTATTAAGTGCCTTCTGTGTGCTAGGCATTGTGCTTAGTTAGGTGCTGTCTTCCTTCTCTCTGCCTTAATTAATGCATTATGTTTTTATGTACATCATTTCCACATACCCCTCCCACCATCTGGTGAGTCTCACCTTTTAACAAAGAAAACATTTAAGAAAAATCAACCTAAATAGCCACTGCACTAATATTTTGGACCTGTCGTTCCCAACCACTCCAAAGAAATAATAGTAGTACATTTCCTTATCATTTTTTCTGGAGTCAAGATTAGTTATTACAGTTATATAGCTTTGGACTTAGTTTGGGAGGGGGAGTGGGGCCTTGACCTGTGATTTCATTGGGGTGACCTGTGACTCCTTGCATGGAAACTCCCTCCACCAAGGAAGATTCACAGGTTGTCTGTACCTCAGTCTTAGAGCTGTTTGAGGGCATTGAGAGGTTAAGTAATTTGGTCATGTCCATGATCTTGGTCAAAAAGCTGAGTTTACAGGTCCAGACCCCTCTTCCTCCCCACCCCCAATTGACCCCCCATGGTTGTGTATTTTTTTTCCCTGGTTCTGCTTACTTTGCAATATTTCACACAAGGGAGATGGTGTGGTATAATAGAAGGATGCTGGGTTCAAATCTTGCTTTTGATACTTACTACTTATGTTTCATTATTTGTAAAATAAGAGGGTTGGATCTGATGGCTTGGGGCTTCTTCTGGATCTGAGTCTCAGATCCTCACTCTTGCCAAGTGTCTTCTGCCCTCTCTTCTCCGTCCTTTTCCTCCTTAAACTCTCTGTCTTCTCTGTCTGGCCACTTTCTTTGACTGCTTCTCGGGTTCATGTTACTGGGGGATCAGTGGAAGGACTGGGAATGATTAGCCTGGAGAAGAGAAATGTGATGGCTGTTTTCAAAGCATTCGAACGACTCTTGGATGGAGGAAGGTTTTGACTTGCTCTCTTTGGCCCTAGGAGCAGAGAGGGGAAGTAACCAACATGTACATTTAATTTGTGTAAAAAGGAAAAAACCCAAAACATTGAGAGCTATTCAAGAATGGAATGGGCTGCCTTGGGTGGTTCTGGGTGCTGGGGTCTGACTGGGGAGGTCTTTGAGCAAAGGTCGGAGGGCCCCATGTTGGTGAGATTGTAGAGAGAGATGAATTCTTGTTCAGGCTTCGGTTGAACTAGATGGAGAGCTACTGAGGGCCGTTCAAATAGCAAATACTTAATGAATGCTACTTGACTTGGTTTCCTCCATTCTCCCTTCTCTCTCTGGTCTTCTGTTATTCTTTCTGTCCTGTTCCCCTTCTGATATTATAGCCCTTCTCTTTCCAGTCTGGCCTCTTTTTTAGGTCTGCTTTCTTCCCCTCCTCTCTTCTCTCTTGCCTTCCTCTTCCGTCTGTCCTCTTTTCTTTCTAGGCTTTCCATTTGTCCTTTCTTTTCTATCTTCTTAACTTTCTCTTTCTCCTCCTCTTCTTAGTGTCCTCCCCTCTCTCCTCTCTTATTTCTCACCTCTATTTTCCTGTTGTTGTTGCTTTTTTTTAAAAAAATCAATTCAATATTAAGCAACTAATAACTGACAATCTAAAGTTTGCAAAATACTTTCATTTTTGCATTTGAGCCATTGAGTGTTTAAGTTTCATTATTCTCATTTCACAAACTGAGGAAACTGAGGCTCAGAGAAGAGAATGACTTGCTAATGGTCACATAGCTAGTAAATGTCAAAAGTGGAATTGGAACCTAAACCTTGGTGCCTCTATGCCCTCTGCTCTTCGACAAGATGCTAAGTTCTGGGGGTGTCGTTGTTCAGTCCCGTCTGACTCTTCTGAACCCCGTGGACCGTACTGTCCAGGAGGTTTTCTTAGCAAAGATCCTGGAGTGGCTTGCCACTTGCTTCTCCAGTGGATTGGGGCAAGCAGAGGTTAAATGACTTGCCCAGGGTAGTACAGCTAGTGAGTGTCTGAGGCTGGATTTGAACTCAGGTCTCCCTGACTCCAGGCCTGGAGTTTGCCATCCAGCTGCCCTGGGAATACAGAGCCCAAAAGAAAACTGTCCCAGCTCTCAAGCAGCTTAGGTTACGTTCTATTGAGTATACATGTCATGGATATAGTAAACAACTTGAGTAAGAAGAGATCATTTGCAACCATGGGCATCAGCAAAGGTTTCCCTGGGGATGTGGCCTTGGATTCTGTGGAGCTAAAAAGAGTGAAGCTTAGGCTTGAGTGGGTGCGTGCGCAGAAGTGTGTTGCAGGAGGAATATTAACACTGTGCTCTACATTTAGGCACAGAAATAATTTATCACCTATCTAGTATCTAAGCCATTTTTAGCTTGGGGGGAAGAGAGAGGTGGGGGCAGGGAAGGAGGAAAAGAAGAGAAAGGGGGGGAGTATTAATTTTTCTTCTTAAGGACTTAGTCCTAAGCCTTTGCTGAAGTTGTTATCTCATTCCCTCGGGGATCACTTTCTCTTCATTCTAGGAGTTAGACAAAGAAACTTCCTTCCAACTTTATCTAAATCATTTCTCTTTGGAGAAAGGGAAGGGGAAGGGAAAGAGAATATTTATTTAGGCCTACTTTGTGCTACAAATATCTCATTTGATTTTTACTACCGCACTGGGAGGCAGGTGCTATTATGATCCTATTTTACAGTCAAGGAAACTGGGGCAGGCAGAAATTAAATGACTTGCCCAGGGTCACACAGCAAGTAATTGTCTGAGGTCAAATTTGAATTCAAGTCATCCTGACTCCAGGCCTACAGTTCTCTCTGTTCCCTGTCTAACTACCTTGGAATATCTTAGTCAGTTCCTGGTAAGGAAGAGCTTTCTCCTCCACAAGAGTTAATTTGGTTAATTATTACAACTCCCTAAGAAAGGCTTTAGCTAGGGGGTGGTGGATGGAGTGCTAGGCATGGGGTCCAGAAGATTTATCTCCTTGAGTTCAAATCTGGCCTCAGATTTGACCCTGGGCAAGTCTCTTCCCCCTGTTTACCTCAGTTTCCTCATCTGTAAAATGAACTGGTGAAGGAAATGGCAAATCCCTCCAGTATCTCTGCCAAGAAAACCCCAGATGGGGTCACAGAGTTGGACACGACTAAACAACAGCAGCATAGGGGGACATTCAACTTTGCTCTTTGAACAATTCTATTGAGAGTAATAGCCATTTAATTAATACAAGCATAATGTGATGCCTGGTTGAGCCTAATTTTAAAAATGGCATTTAGAGTTGTGGTAAACAGATTTTTAGCCCTGAAAACTATTAGCAAATCAAAACTATTGCTAGGCCAAAGGCCATCAACCACTAAGCGTCTGTTCCTGTGCTCAGGCGCTGTGCCAGGTGCTGGGGATACGGTAGCAAGAGTGGAACGTTTCTTCCCCTGGAGAAGCTTATAGGCTTTGGGGGAGACAGTATGGGCAAATCCAGGCACACCCCAAATAGATACAAAAGAGATGGAGCCTTCAGAGAAGGGCTTCTGTGCTTGAAGGAAATGGTGAGGAGGGAATGCCTTCCAGTCATGGGGGCTGGACAGTTCAAAGGCCAAGAGAGGAGAAATTAAGTGTTAGTGACTCTGGAGCCTCCCCTCTCTCTAGTGGGATTTTTAAAAAAACACTCGGAATGCCGGTCAGCCCGGCTACTGGGGTGACTGGGCCTGGTCAATCTCTTGGGCTCTGGAGAGTTCTGAGCTGAAGATTAGCTAAGCCAATTGGGTGACTGTACCAAATTCAGCATTTGTACTATAAGCCCTCAGAAAGTGAGGGTGTGGGGCACCATGATGCCAAGAAGGTGCAAACTGGATGGCTAGAACCTGAGCAGGTCAAAGTCCCACCAATCAGAATAGGTCTTAGCCATGAATAGCCACCTCGTGTCCAGCCTAATTTCGATGGAGAAACCATGTGTTAAATTTTTTTTTTAAATTAAGAAACAAATAAACCATATTTGAGGAATAAATAAACGATATTTTCAAGGCTTTGTTCTATGTCCTGGAGATACAATGGTGAAAAAAACCAACATGGCCCCTGCCCTCAAGCAGCTTACAATCTAATAAAGGAACTATGACATGCACACAAATAACTCTGGTGCAAGGTAGAATGTGATAAGGGCACAGAATAAATACAGAGAAAGTGCTTAAAGAAAATGTGAGGTGGGAAAGATCATACTTTGGTGGGAGAGGTCAAACAAAGGAACCAGGGCAAGTTACTTGGAAAGGTTGGCGCCTTGAAGAGAGCCATTTTAGTGGGCAGAAATGAGGAGGCATGGCCTGAGCTCACGCATGGAACCTGATGAGTGAAGGGTGAGCTGAGGGAACAGCTTCAGGGCCAGTTTGGCTTGAGTGTGGTTCTGAGAAGGAGAGCCCAGGGAGGGAAGATTGGAAAGGGAGATCAGAGCTGTGTTGGGGAGGGTCTTCAGTACTGAAGAGTCTGCTGCAGGCCACTGGCTGTCCTCTTTGCACTCTTTAAAATTATTGAAGATCCTACAGAGCTTTTGTTTCTGTGGGTTATATCTACCAATAGTTAACATATTAGAAATTTAAATGGATAAAATGTTAAAATACTTATTATTCCTTTAAAATAACAATAGTAAACCCATTATATGTTAACATAGATAACATGTTTGTGAAAAACAACTATATTTTCCAAAACAATAAAATTAGTGAGAAAAATGGCATTGTTTAACCTATTTTTGCAAACTTCATTAATTCTGGATTGATAGAAGACAGCTAGATTCTCATATGTGCTTCTATATTCAGTCTTTTTGTGATAATGTTGTTTTGATTGAAGTATATGAATAAATCTGGCCTTAGATGTGTAGTTGGAAGAGAGAGGAGTATTCTAATAGGCTAATGATATCTTAGTAAGATGATAAAAATAGTTTTGACATCATGGTCCCCCTGAAAGGGTCTGAAGGACCCTACTTTAAGGATAGCTACTTTAGGCAATAGGGTCTCAGGGATCTCCATGGGTCCCCCAAAAAAACTCACTCTGAGAACTGCTGCACTAGGTAATAAGGTCTTGGGGACCCCCATGAGTCTGCAGACCTCACTTTGACAACCACTGCTCTAGGTAATAGGGAACAACCAAAGGTTTCTCAGCAGGCAGATACATGCATTAGGAAGGTTATTTTGGCAGCTGGGTGAAGGATGGATGGGAGAAGAGAGAGAAAGGAAGCCAGGGAGACTAGGTAGCAAGCTCATCCAGTAGTTCTGGCTGGAGGTGTAACAGGCCCTGAAGCGGAAGGGAGAGATGAGAGAGATGGTTCCATGGAGAAGGCCTTCCCAGCCAGGTGGATGTGGGGAGTAAGGGAAAGAGGGAAGAATCCATGATGGCGGTGTCGAGCCTGAGCAGCCAGAAGGAGATGGCGATGTCAACAGAAATTGGGAAAAATAGAAGATCTAGGGGAGAAAGAAGAAGAGTTTGGTTTGGGGCGCATTGAATTTGTGGCATTACAACATCCGGTTGAGATAGATGTCCAGCGGGCAACTAGTTGGACATTGAGGCCTGGAGCTCAAGCAGGGGTTTGATTGGATGTTAAAGATGGCCACTGAAGCAGTGGGAGTGAATGAGTGAATGAGTGAATGAATGAATGAAAAAGCACTTAGTGTTTACCATAAGGCACTTTGCTGAGCTCTAGGGATACAAAAACAAACACACCAAACAGACTCTGCCCTCTAACAGCACACTTGGAGCAAGAGTGAAAAGAAGAGGAGAGTACAAGCTCTGTGCCATAGCAGTGGGTCAGAGCCCAAGGCCTCAGGGTAGAAGTCCAGGGGCCAGAAGGAAAGGCCAGTTCAGGCAGTTGGCTTAGTGTGGTTGGGAGAGAAGAAGAAAGATGAGGTCAGAGTCTGAAGGGGGTTAGGTGAGTCACAACTGACTTTGAAACTGGCATTTCAAAGTGTGCAAAGCCTTTGAGATATATTATCTTGTTTGAACCTCACTATCAACTGAGTGAGATCAGGACGATTTTCACTTTGTATTTCTGTTCTCTCTGCTCACCTAGCCCAGTGCCTGGTGCATAGAGAGCACTTCATAAGGACTTGCTGATTGATGCTGGGGGGATTACTATCTCGAGTTTACAAATGAAGAAACTCTGGAAACCTCATCAAAGTTAAGCGTCTTGGTTATAGTCATGGAGCCAATAAGTAGCCGAGGAAGGATTTGAATCCGGGTTTTCTTGTCTCAGAGTCTGGCCCTTCATTCACTCTGTCATGCTGCCTCCCAAGACAGAGCTGTCTTCCTTTTACAGGCTTAAAATTCATTGTCCTCCCCATTGAACAAATAGTATCATTTAGTCTTCAATTTAACTTACTCTCAAAGCATAAGGTGTTCAAAGAGGGAACGAATTTGGGTTTATGGCAAAGACAAAAAAACACAAGTTTTTCTGTGTTAGACTAATTGTTTTGTTGTTCAGTTGTGTCCAACTCTTCGTGACCCCTTTTGAGGTTTTCTTGGCAAAATTACTGGAGGGGTTTGCCATTTCCTTCTCAAGCTCATTTTACAGGTGAGGAAACTGAGGCGAATAGGGTTAAATGACTTGCCCAGGGTCACACAGTTAGTGTCTGAGGCTGGATTTGAACCCAGGAAGATAAAGTCTTCCTGATTTCAAGGCAGGCATTCTATCCACCGCACCACCTAGTTGCCCTGCTAGACTAATAGCCTTTTAGAAAAAAGAGGATTTGCAGTGGATAGAGTGCTGGACTCAGAGTCAGAACATTTGAATTCAAATTTTACCTCAGATACTTATTAACTATGCAACCCTGGGTAAGTCACTGTCAAACTCTGAAAATGAAGGTTATAGCAAAAGCTTTATACCAACTGTCAACTCTGACAAATAAAATAAAATAACACCAAAGAGCTCACAGAGGTTATAAGCAAAAAGCCTTCTTTATTCCTTTGAAGGAGGGAAGCTAGACCCAAGGCAGCGAGGCTAAGCCTTGTGACATGTATAATTGTGGCTAGACAAAGAGCCAGGCAGTGAGGGGGTAACAGCAACAATGAGGCTAGTGAAAAAAATCCATTCGTAGCAAGGCTTCATGATCGGAATGTGATTCTTGCTGGTGCTTAGCTGAGCTCAGGGATCACCTGGGGCTGGTGTGAACCAGTCCTATGATTTGGCTGCAGCAGAGTTCATCCAGAGGGTGAGCAAAAAGGATTGTTGTTGTGCCTAGCTCAGGGCATACCTGCTTGCTGGGCCTTAGCTCTGGAAAACAGAGAGGAGTGAAAAGAGAGGAGTGGTCTTGGCATGGGGATCCTGACATCACTTAACCTCTGTCTTCCTCATCTATAAAACGGAAATAAGAGTACCTGCTTCCATGGGATATTGTGGGGATCCATTGAGATACTGTTTGTAAAGTGCTTTGCAAACCTCAAGGGGCTATATAAATGCTGGCTATTTGTATTATTATTGTTGTGGGTAGGATGGGTAGAATGTCCCAAAATACCAAAAAGGCAGACTAGATGATACTGCTCAGCTCTGGGGACATGGTCTTTATATGTTTACTGTGTAGCTTCTTTGTGCTCTTTTATAAATCTTGAAGAGAATTACACTCAGTGAATTCATTTAACTCTGAATTAAGTAATTACTTGCAACCAGACCAGTCTCTTATTTTGAAAAAATGTAAGCTCAGTTAGCTTTTTGATTAGGTTTTTTATTTTATTTTTATTTTTTTTTAGTGAGGCAATTGGAGTTAAGTGACTTGCCCAAGGTCACACAGCTAGTACGTGTCAAGTGTTTGGTCTGAGGCTGGATTTGAACTCAGGTCCTCCTGACTTCAGGGCTGGTGTTGTATCCACTGCGCCACCTAGCTGCCCCTCGATTAGTTTTCTTAATGGTGAGGTGGTAAAACATTTTTTCTTTGCATAGAACATCATCTATTCAGAAACTGAGACCCACACTATTGAGAAACAACGGAAAGAACTGCAACTATTAATTGGGGAACTAAGAGATCGGGACCGAGAGCTCAGTGAGATGGTTCTGGCACATCAGAGACAGCTTCTGGCATGGGAAGATGATCGGCAGAAAGTGCTGACTTTGGAAGAGAGATGCTGCAAATTGGAGAGTGAGTACTGGCTGAGCCAGCTGTGGCCCCCCCCCCCCCTCACCGCCAGCCCCCAGCCGCACCCCAGGAGACCCCCTGATGTGCTTTCCAGCCATTCCCACAACACTCCTATAGGCAATGCTGGAAGGAACGCTGGAGGATTTGGGCAGGGACACATAGGCCTTGCTGCACTTAAGCTTTATTCAAAAACACTGATTAAATGCCCACTGCTTAGAATGCGTTATACAGAGTGATTAGCATAGTACCTGGTGCATAGGCAGTGCTATACCAATGCTTAGCTTAGAAGAGACCCGTTATACGCCCCCATTGGAGCAAGCAGGCTCCTGGGGGATATGGCCCACATAGATTCCTATGGCACAAATGAATAAATAGTTGGTATGTGCATTGGAGAAGCATAGATCAAATGCTGTGAGCCTGAAATGCTTTGTAAATATTAGCAAATATTTTTCTATCATGGCAAGAATCATTAGGAAGTGACAATGTTATTTTAAAAATTAGAAAAGAGCATCAATGAAATACTTTCAAAAAAAATAAAGGGATAGTATATACAATAACAAAAAAGGAAGTGGTAGTCTCGAATAACCTTAGTGGCTTTATAAAAAATAAGTCATACCAGACTAGTTTCATTTCCTTTTTTTGACAAGTTACTAGACAAAGTAGATGAAGGTAGTGCTATAATTTACCTAAGATCTTAGCAGAGCATTTACATATTATTGAAATCGTGAGTAGTTGTAAACTAGATAATTGTGCAATTAAATGGATTCAGGGCTGGATGAATGACTAGACCCAAAGAATAGTCATTAATGATTCAATGCCAGCTTGGGAGAACCAGTGAAGTAATATAGGGATCTGTGCTTGGCCTTGTGCTAATTAAAATTTTTATCAATTACTTTAGCAAAGCCAATGATGGCATACCTATCTGCAGTTTGCAGATGACGTGAAAGCTGGAAAGGGTGGCTAACAGTAGATGGCAGAATCAGGATTGATAAAAGATCTTGGCAGGCCAAGGCAATGTGCTGAATTGAAGAGGGTGAAAGTTAATTATTGTAAATATAAAGTCTTACATTTGGGTTCAAAAAATCAACTCCACAAGTATATGCTGAGAAAGGCATAATTAGAAAGCATTTCATCTGAAAAAAGTTTGGGCTTTTGGCAGATCACGGTATAAGGTCAGTCACGTGAGCTCACGTGAGCTCATGGTATAAGTCAACCATGTGATATGGTAGGCAAGAGTACCCACAGCTAAGTAGGGGATGGTCCTGCTGTGCTCTGCCCTGGTCAGACCATATATTGTGCTGTGTGGGGAGCCTCATTTCAGCTAGAAAGTGCCAATTCCAAATGAAGATTGGTTAAAGGTGAGTAGTCTAGAGCAGACTTGATAGGGACGTGATAATAGCTGCCTCCTGGTATTTGAGAGACTGGCACTTGCAATAGGATTCCACTGGTTTCATCTGCTTGGCTCCAGAAGGTACAATTAGGAGTCATGAATAGAAGGCACAAGGAGGCATATTGAGACTTCATGTAAGGAAACATTTCTCAGGAATTAGGAATATTCACAAGTGGCTGGAATCGGCTTCCCAGAAGGCCAGGAATGTAGCAGTCGTAAATGTTATTGACTGACGGGGCTCCCTTGGGCCCTCACAAGACATCTTCAAGTCAAGGCTTATTGGTGCCCTCCAGCCCACAACACTGCCATCTAAACCAGGTGAAAATGTAATTGGGAAATGTTTAACATAATAAATAAAAATGCAACACAACATAGATAATGTCAGCTTGTAGTTTTCTAACTCAGTCTCTACCTGCAGGGATCTGTTTCTGTTGGATTTGGACATCCCAGAGACAGAGGGAGTTCTTATTAAGGTTCCAACTGGGCTAGATAACCTCACGAGTCTTTTCCAACTGAGATTTTATGATTCAGGTTGCAAATTTGTGATTTACTCTATCTGCTGTAGGGGGCCATTGAATGTTTCTAAGCAGAGCAGTACACGACCATATACAAGAAATAATTTAAGTATACTTGTAAGGCAGTGTACAAACGAGTGAAAATCAATTTGGTACAAAGAGATTATGTATGGATGGGCTGATGCAAAGTGAGATGTACTGTGTACACAGTAATAGCAGTATTGTAAGATGATCAACTGTGAATGACTTAGCTGTTCTCAGCAATACAATGATCCAAGACACCTCTGAAGGATTTAGGATTAAAAATGCTGTCCGTCCCCAGAGAAAGTACTGATGGTGTCTGAATACAGATTGAAGCACGCTTTTTTTTAAACTTTCTTCACTTTCTTGAGTTTTTTTTTGTCTATGTTTTCTTTCACAATATGATTGTTATGGATATGTTTTACATGATTACACATGTATAACCTGTCTTGAATTGCTTGCCTTCTTAATGAGGTGAGGGGAGGAAGGGAGAGAATTTGGAACTCAAAGTTTTAAAAACGAAGGTTAAAAATTGTTTTTACACGTAGCTGGGGAAAAATAAAATACTAAATAAAAGCTTAAAAAAAAGAGACAGATTATATATGGGATGGTGGAAGGGTTTGGAGATTAAGAGGCCTGAATTCACTCTGAACCTCAATTTCTGTGTCTATTAAAAAAAAAAAAAAAGAGTTGACTAGATGATTTCTATGGACCCTTCCAGCTCCACATCCTGTTTGGAGAGGATTCTGAGAAGCCCAGCAATTGGAACGGGGCATCATTAGGTACACGAGGGAGGGTTTCCAGCAAATGGGTCTTAAGCTGGACTTTAAAGAACCCGATCATCCACCTTCCTGCTTTCGGCTGGAAGGGTTGTTCTCCACCTTCTTCAATTCCCGACACAGTGGTGAAGCCAAGTACTCTCAAAACTTCCCCTAGAAATAGGCATATTTTTAAACTTCAGTACTTCCCTATTTTGGAACCCATCCAGAATAACCATTTAAGTCAAAAGGCAATGGTACCATGACATCTCTTCATCTGCCATCCCACTGGTTTGGATTCCAAACCTGCCCGCCTTCTGTTGACACCATGTTTGTTGCTGTGGCCATAAGAAAATGTGGTAAGGAAACGGGTCACATAGAATTTAAAATCGTGCCTTGTGTTCTTCTCACAACCTAACCAATTTTATCTTCAGTTTTGATCTATGTTTAACTAGAGGTTTTTGATTACAAATCACTCTTGAGGAAGTGCAATTTTTTCTGTTTTCATGATGACATGGCAATGTTGTTTGGGGTGTTTATTCAGTGATTAACATGCACAAATGCCCAAGTACTGTGCATGATGCCTAGGCACCTCAGTATAGGGTGACATGTGCCTTTTAATTCAAACAAGTGAAGAAGAAGATGACTGGCATTTTAAAACAGTTATTTCAAAATGGAAATTATAAATTTATACTTTTGGTTATTTAGGCCATCCACGTCTAGGTGAAGATGTCTGTGTGCCCTTTAAAGGAAAAATGCCCCAGGGGGCAGCTAGGTGGCACAATGGATAGAGCTCTGGCCTTGGAGTCAGGAGGACCTGAGTTCAAATCCAGCCTCAGACACTTTACACTTACTAGCTATGTGTGACCCTGGGCAAGTCACTTAACCCCAATTGCCTCACCCAAAAAAAAAAAAAAAAGAATGGAAAAAATGCCCCCTAGCTAGAACTTCCCTCTGCTCCCCAGAAGGGCACCCTGTTACTCTTCAGACTTGTCCATAAAGAAATTCTTGCTGTCATTTCTCTCAGATGAACTGCATAAAAGGAGTGAAATAATTAGAACCCTCACCAAGAAGATCAAAACCCTAGAATCTCAACAAAATGACCACCAGGAGGTTCTTCAGACAGCTCAGCAGCAGCTCCAGGAAATGTCTCAAAAGGCCACCCAGGCTTCTTTCACCTGTGAGGACCTAGAGGTAGGCAGGGGGTCCCTGGGCACAGGCCTTGGAAAGTCGAGCCACCGCGTCCTGTTGGTTGCATGATTCTAAGCGGGGAAGGCTAGCTGCTCTCCAGGATACATGATAAAGGCAGGAGGAGGGGCCTGTGGGAAGACCACTGCTGTCCCTCTCAGTTTAGCTTCCTTCTTGCTTTGATTTTTTGGTGTGACAAGACCCAGCGCATTTGGAGGACCTGAGAAAAACCATGGGGTTTTAAACTCAGGCAGTGCTTTGTAGTTGGTTGAAAAGTAGTTTCTAAAATGACTTGGGGGGGTGGGGCGGAGAGCAAGCATTTGTCAAGTGTTGGCATTGTGTTGAGCACCGTGCTAAATGCTTTACAAATATTATCTGGGGGGAATGCAGATCGGCAGGAATCGACCAGAGTTAAAGAGAATCTTCTTTAAAAACAAAACAAAACAAACTTGTCTTTTTTTTTTCAATTAACAAATCCTCCTTTCCATCACCCTTCCTCCCTAAAGGGAATCATCTTACCCTAAGTCAGATAGAGGTTTGGGAAAGGATGAAGTGAGTTCAAAGTCTGGCTGAAGGCCTGTGGGCTCTAATTAGATGACTGACTTTTCTGTGTTTCGAAAGGGCTTAGCCCAGAGACCCAAAACTTGAGCTCTTTAAAAAAGGCCAGGCATGTCCAGTATCCAGTCATTGGACTACATGAGGGCCTTGCACTTTTCAGTGGCTTTCTCTTCTTAAGGAGAGAGCTTTAGCAGTCCCCAGAGTCAGCTTTGCCTCAAGGGGCCGAGCTCTTCGTGTAGTCTTTATACCTTATCCTTAGTAGTATGATGAAGTAAAGCTTGAAATTATTCAGGAATTCAGTTATGGATTCTAAAGAATTACATATAGAGAGAAAAAAGAAGTATCGTATAAATGATGCATCTTCCTTCACGGCCCAGCTCCAATGTTGCCTCCTCCATGGAGTCTTCCTTGATCCCCCAAGTTGTGTGTGCTTACTCCCACCTCAGTTTTCATTATATTTTGATTATTTGTGTTTATGTTTCATCCTCTTAGGAGAATGTAAGCTCCTTGAGGGCCGGGCCTGTTTTGTTTTTGTCATTGTCTTTGGGCCCTCTAGCACAATGCCTTGCATATAAAATGTCCTTTGTCACTGTTTTATTGAATTGAAAACAATCATCTAACAGCATCATTGGAATTAGGGTTTCATCTTTCATCCCCATCAAACCAACAGATATGTGTTAAGGATTTACTGTGAGCAAGGCAGCATGACAGGTGGGCCCTATCATGGAAGCAATGAACATGAGCTTGGATAGACTTCTGGAGAGAGTGGAGGACAGAAGGTCCTGGCATGTTATGGTCCGAAGGGTCACAAAGGGTTGGATACAACTGAGTGACTGAATAACAACATAATCCCAAAGTGAAGGCAAACCCAGTTTTGTGAAATGTAAATACTGTGATGCTTAATGTAGGCACACACACGTTTTGTATATGTATATGTATGTGTGTGTATATGTATGCCTGTGTGTATGTGTATACCATAGAATACTGGTTTTATTGTTGTTTCAGTCACGTGACCCCATTTGGGGTTTTCTTGGCCAAGATACCGGAGTGGTTTACCACTTCCTTCTCAAGCTCATTTTGCAGATGAGAAAACTGAGGCAAACAGGGTGAAGTGACGTGCCCAGGATCACACAGCTAGGAAGTGTCTGAGGCCAGATTTGAACTCAGGAAGATGAGTCTTCCTGACTCCAGGCCCGGCGGGCGCTCTGTGCACTGCAGCACCACCTACCTGCCCTATAATGCTTACATTCAATAGTAATAACACAAAATTCCATTATCTGCTCTTCTTCAGTAGCTTTTCACGGTACCGTTCTGAACAATGTCTTAAATGACTAATGCTTTATGAGAGAATCACGGGTGGCCTATCTCTTTTTTTTTTCTAAAATAAAGATCACATTTATTATCACCAGTTTCATAAAAACACAGACAGCTTTTACAAAAATGATTTTGACAGAAAAATATTTGAGTTTAAGTACATTGTAATATTGCAGGAAAAAACACACACTCTATTGCTGTGCCTCCCCCTAAAGCTTCAAAGAAACTAAACATTTCCTGATCAAGATATCCATTGTTTACCATGACCTGTCTTTGGAAGTAAGTTCATTGTGTTTTCTTAACAAGTCGAATCATTTACTCATTCAAGTTAAATTCCAGGCTGTACACTCTCTTGGCGCCATTGATGTAGCACTTTAATGAATAGTAGAGTAAGAGCTGAACGGGAACTTAGAGATCATCTAGTCCAACCCCCTCATTTTACAGATGAGGAAAATGAGGCCCAGAGAAGAAATGATTTGCCCAGAAGAGCTGGGTCTAGAACACGGGTCTTCTGATTTGCTGGCAAATGTTCTTTTCCTTCGGTCAGCTAGACATGAAAAACAAACCAAAGGATGTTGAAGATTTCAGACATTTCTTCCTCTGTGCTGAGAATTGCACCAGGTGGGGAACAGTTTAAAATAGTCTAATCAATGGAACAGGATGGATGACTTGCCCAGGGTCACACAGCTGGTAAGTGTCAAGTGTTTAGTCTGAGGCTGGATTTGAACCCAGGTCAAAGGTCACTTAGGTCAAAACATTGGCTCAGTGTGTCCTGTGTAGGGTAGCTTAACTTATAGGTGGCGAGCTTGATCCAAAACTAGGAGATTCTGTTTGAAAAGGCTTTTTAAAAAAAGGATGCTTATTTAACCTACTTTCACACCAGATAGATGTAAGTAAATGAAAACAAAGAAATCACCAGCAAAAGAAGTAAAATGAACCCAGATTCCTGTTCTAGTGGGAGCTCTAATAGTACAGACAGAATGTGACAAACATCTTCTTTTTCTCTTCTTGCATTATTCTCTCATAGGGAAAAAACAGATGTCTCAACAACTCAGTGATGGAACTTTCAGCACAGATAGGACAGTTACAAGCCCGAGAACAGGCGCTCTCTACAATGATCAAGCTTAAGGTAACACACCGACTGCATTTTTGACTTACTTTCTCAGATAGCTTTATTAGGCTTTATGAGAACCTTGAAAAAATAAGCGAGCATGGCACATTGACTGACCGGGTGCCCGCTTGCTGGGCTCCTTTAGGCCCTCAGGCTGGTTCTGCTGCACTAGCCACTCACTGAACCCTAGAGAACAGTTTTCCCCTGGGGGCTGCTGTGGCCTTGGGCTTGAGTTTGCTGATAAAGACTAGGTGAAGAGCTGTGATACATAATTCAGTCAGCAATTAGTATTTCCAAGATAGCTGTAAGGGTAAGGCTCTGCAAATCTAATGAAACCAGCTCAACCCACTTCCTTTAAAGCTCATCTTGGCCACCCCCTTTCCTCGCATCCTAGGAAGAAATTACCGTGTGTATATTTTGAACTGAATTTCTATGGATGTGTTTCTCCCTGTTGAATATAAGCTCTTTGAGAATAGGATTATTTTGATCATTATATTGGTTTAGCATGGGGCCTCGTACAGAGTAGTGGGCACTCAGTGTGTTGCTTATTGAGTAAATGAGTGAACCTTGTCTCTGTTTCTCATTCTTGCTTTCTTCCTGCCAGCAGCCTCCCTTTCTCCTTTCTTTCCTTCTATTACCTTTCCTTTTTTTCTGTTCTTTCCATTTCTTTTTTTTTTTTTAATTTTTAGGCAATTGGGGTTAAGTGACTTGCCCAGGGTCACACAGCTGGTAAGCGTCAAGTGTTTAGTCTGAGGCCGGATTTGAACCCAGGTCCTCCTGACTTCAGGGCTGGTGCTCTATCCACTGCGCCACCTGGGTGTCCCTGTTCTTTCCATTTCTCACTGTTATCTGATCATGGCCTCTAAGGTTTGCAAAGTGATTTAGAAAGGTCAACTCAGTTGATTAATAAACAGGCAAATGTTCTTTTCCTTCGGTCAGCTAGACATGAAAAACAAACCAAAGGATGTTGAACGTTTCAGACATTTCTTCCTCTGTGCTGAGAATTGCACCAGGTGGGGAACAGTTTAAAATAGTCTAATCAATGGAACAGGGTGAAAGCTCATCGTCAAAGGTCACTTAGGTCAAAACGTTGGCTCAGTGTGTCCTGTGTAGGGTAGCTTAACTTATAGGTGGCGAGCTTGATCCAAAACTAGGAGATTCTGTTTGAAAAGGCTTTTTAAAAAAAGGACGCTTATTTAACCTACTTGGCATATATGAATTTTATATAAATTTTTCTGGAGATATAATATGTGTATATTCATATATATGTACATATATTTCTAGTATACTTATTGCTAGAGTACCCAGGCTCTCTGAAAAATCTTCTTAGAGACTCCTTAGCAGCATGTTTTGTCTGTGACAGGATGTTCTCATCGGGTCACTAGCTTAAATACTTAGAAGTATACTTGTTGACTACTAGTATGAATACAGGTAAACTTCAGGGTTTTTCTAAAATTTAAACGATGGGAAGAATTCTACCTAAATGTTTGAATTATTTTGTAAAGAAAGACTTTTCTTTAATTAGTAGTATTAGTCTCTCTGTAAGTACATTGACTGCTTAAGTAGCCTTGTGGTAGGGGCAGCTAGGTGGCACAGTGGATAGAGCACCGGCCCTGGATTCAGGAGGACCTGAGTTCATAATCTGGCCTCCGACACATAACACTTACTAGCCGTGTGACCCTGGGCAAGTCACTTAACCCCATTGCCTAGCCAAAAAAAAAAAAAAAAGTAGCTTTATGGTACAGTGGGGAGCATGCCTTACTGGGAGTCAGGAAGATGAGTTCAAATCCAGCCTCAGATACTTATTGGCTCCATGACCTTGGAGAAGTCATTTGACCTTTTTGCTCCTTATTTTCCTCAGCTGTAAAATGGTGGCATTGTGGTGGTGGTGGTGGTGGGGGAGTGAACTCTTCTCTTCTGTCTCTTCTGTCTCTAAATCTCTGATCATGTTTTCCAGGGCATTTTTTCCTACTTTGGATTTTCTGTGTGTGGTTAATGTAAATATAAGCAAATTAAAATGCTGGCATTTCTAATCTGCAGGACAAAGATATTGCTGAGGCAATCAATCATATTACGGACTGTTCAAATAAATTTAAGATGCTAGAACATGCCTTGCACGATGCCAAAATGGTGGAATCCTGTATTATCAAGGAAAAGCAAGATTATAAACAGAAAATGAAAGTGCTAAAGTTTGAAGTAACTAAACTAAAAGGTAAGGAATGGAATTATGTGATGATATGCCACTTGGCTTTTGTGTTAGGGCACCCGTGCATAGAGAAGAGTGTTCCTAATGTGGTTTGTATATAGAGAAGCTCTTTTAAAAAAAGCAAACAAACAAACAAAAAACAACCTTTTGCACCTGTAGCCTAAGTGACGTTTTCCTTGGCAACTGTCCATTCTTCTAGTAAGTGAGGGGGAAACCATTTCTACAGCTCACCTTAATATGTATTTACTTTCCATACTTGAATACCCGCAGATACTTGGCTGATTTTCTGACTCATTTTCATCTTCCCCTATTTTTGCGTGGTTTAAAAGCTAAGATCTTAATTAGACCTTATGAACTGTCTTTGATACATGTAGTACAGGCCACGGAAGGCTTCTTGACCTCAGCTCTGTCGCTGTCCCTAACCCGTAGCCCCGAATGCTCCTGTTTTTCATACAAGCTGATGTTGCAGTAGACGGGAGCAGAGTGAGGTCAGGTCAAGGATCAGACCTTTTACGGCCATAAGCAGTATTGAGCTGAGCCCATACGTGGAAACTTGCAAGGGCTGTCTGCGGGTGAGATTTCGCGTCAAACCCTTGTCTCAGTCATTGCGTTGAGGCAGGAGGTTGCAGTCACAAGAAAGCCCCATAGGTCCTCCGTCACCTCTCTCCTCTACTGATATCGAAAGATAGGAAGAGACTTTACATAGGGGTGCTCTTGGTGCCAGCGCTTCTGTGTGATTCCAAGAACGGATTCTTCCTGTTTATATTAAAGATGAGCTGAATGAAAAGACGACTGAAAATAATGAGCAGCGAGAAGAGATCATCCACCTCAGGCAAGAGAAGAGTCATCTGCATGATGAACTGGTCTTCACTGGTAAGTGGGGGCAGCTTGTTCAACTCGCATGCATTTTCACTTGGCACGTCTGATACAGCTGGGCGTGTGTGTGTAGCGAGCTCTTGTGTCTTCCCAAGTGTCACTTACCTCTCTGCAGTATGTCAGAGGAAACACCTTTCCCCAAATATAATGTTTAAAGCCCTTTTAGTCTTTTCTCTCGTTAAATATGGACATTCATCAATGGCGATGAAAACTTTTGCAGAAGCATACACCGGTGTATCCTCATGGTACGGAGGGTGCCCTCGATTCCCTTTTGCTAACTGAGCGCAGGTCTTTGAAAGTCCTACCGAGCAGGGGGGGCTTCCAGAATAGGTCCAGTGGTGAACTGTAAGCGTGGCTTCTGCCTGAGGAAGGAAGATCCCTTCTAGCTTCTGAAGGAGAAGTGTGTGGGACACAGGGGGCTGGAGACTGGAGCTGACTGAGAGGGAGGAGAAGGACATAGGGAAGGTGATCTGGGTGGTTTGGGACTTGAGAAGATGGCCAGAGATTGGATTTGGGGAGAAGACGCTGGGGAGAAGCTGCGAACAAGCCAAGCTGTAGGAGGAGACAGCTGAGAAGAACTTGGTCACCTCGTTTTGAAGGATGAGGAAAAAGATTGACAAGAAGAGCCCGAAGAGGAGGATGAGGAACCAGAGAGAAGAAGCCAGGAAAAAGTACGGAAGGAAAGGTTAAGTCCAACACATCAGTAAGACAAAGGAGAGAAGGGAAAGGAGGTTTGGTAGTGCTGGCTGTCCACTTGAGAGGAAGGAAAGGAAATGGGGTGTGCTATTTGGGGGGTTAAAGGTAATAAGTGGGTGTTACAGAGTTGTCCTCACCCAAAGGAGTTTGAAAGACAAGGACTGATGGTCTCACTACCAGTGAGAAAGCAGAGCAGAGAGAAGTTTGCACTGATTGGTATTTCTGTTGTATGCAAAGTCCAGAATGGTCTCCCTCCCAAAATAAAAGGTGAGAAGTTTGAGGAATGTCTCCTTGTGCTCCAGGTTATCAGGGATAATGAAATCTTCCTAAAGGTCCTGGAGGAGCAGCATTGATGTCTCTAAGGCAGAAGAAAGATCTGAAGTGGCAGTGGAGAGACTAGCCCTGTGCCCAAAGGTCAGAGAGCAGAAGAATGGCACACGGGGGTGGAAAGGAGCCAGGCACACAGAGAATTTGAGCCAATAAGCGAACTGGAGCCTCTTCTTACACAGGAGGAAGCAGGGTGCCTTGGGAAATGAGAAGCTACTGGTCCTCCAAGGTGTGATGATAGAGTAGCACTTGGTGAGAAATCATCAGGAAAGATGAGAAGACCAGCGGCACTTGGTGACTCCTTGTTGAGGGAGGTAGTGTTGTGTCCTTGTGAGGATAGCAAGTGAGAAAGGCCTTCCATGTATCCAAGACATATCAGTGAAGCTACCAAGACTTGTCCAAGGAGATGACTGGTACCCTGGTACCCTTTTAGTTATTTATGTGGGCATAAATGATTCTGCTAGAAGGAAGCATTTTGCCAAAGATTCTGAAATATTGGACAAGAAACCAAAAACCCCAGGGCACAGGTGGTGTTTTCATCACTGCTTCCGATTAAAGGCAAAGGGTACAAAAAAGAAAAGCAGATTTGGGAAGTGAACAACTAGTTGACTTGGTGCCTGAAAATGGAACTTTGATTTCTGGATCAAGGCTTAAAATATAGGGTTTTCTGTCCAGGGATGGAATACCACTAACACATTTTGGTATGAATGTATTTGCCTGATATCTTACGTGTTCAATCTCCTCTCCAAAAAGGAGCAGAGGAGGAGAGGAAATTTCCTGTGTCTATACTCCAAGGTAGACACCATCGCAAGACACTGCAGTATAAGAAGGATGATGGCTAAGACATCCAGAAGTTCACAGGAGACAAAGTTCAAGGAAGTGAAAACAGCGAAACCCAAGTCCTCAAATGTCTAGCCACAAATGTACCAAGTGTAGCCAATGGTCAAAAATGAACCAGAGGATTTAACTTTAGGTGATAACTTTGCAATGGGATCAGACCAAATGACCTCAGTAGGGCTGATGTGATTTGAAAGAAACAGGATAGGGAAAAGAGATTGGGAATTAGCAAGGAATATTAAGGTCCACTCATGTGAAGAAATCTAGAAAGCGGAGAGGGGAAGCATATGGTGGAGAGCATTTGGTCAATATCAGTAGAGGGAGAAACATAAGTTGTTTTGTCATTGATGGTACTGTAGACTAAATAAGTGAGGCAGCTTGGGAAACATCATGAGCCTGGCACAGAGGCGTCATGGAGGGGCGATGGAAGATTTGTTATCCAATTGTTGTTGGAGTTTGCTCTCTGCCAGAATCAAAGGAGCTAATAATTTCTTGCTTTGCCTTAATAAAATGATTTTATTGTTCAAAGGGTAGAGAAATCAACAAAGGGGAATTTGATTCTTGGGCTTCTTTTTTGCCAACAGGGAAGAAGTGGTTTCTGGGGTCAAAACCATGGAAACTTTGGGGAGAAATAGTAACTCTCATGAATTTATAATTATGAAGGAAATGGAAGCGGGGCTCAGTTTGATGTGCAGCTTTGTGCAAACAGATTTCAAAGGGTACAGAGGAAAGATAAGTAAGTTGTCATGAATCCAGAGTTCTGCAGGGGAAATCACTCGTGGAGGCCTACAAGCTCTCAAGAATGAAATTTTGAACAGATAAAGCAAAATGGTTTTGATGAGGTAGAAAATTATTAACTATTTATAGACAATGGTACCGATGCCCAGGGAACTCACCAACTAGCGTGGGTTTTAAAAAGATAAATACAGAAAGAAGAAGCAGTGCTCAATAAGAGAAGATGAAAACAGATGTGTGTGGTTTGGTGCTGTAAGAGTATGTCAGGCATTCTGGAGCTCTGAATCAGCTGAGCACAGCTGAGGACAACAGAAAGAGGGGTCACAAAGCTCTATCAGGAAAAGAAGAGGCTCAGAAAAGGGATAGGACTGTCTGGGAGGATGGCGTGGTGAGAAGGGATGACAGAGAGAGGGCTGAACTGAACAATTCTGATTTGGCCTCTGTTTTCTCTACCAAGGAGAGTGACCATTGGATGGGCAAGCACAGAACAAAAACTGCTAATAGGGAGTTGATACCCAAGAAAAGTAAGGAGATAAGAGAGGACCTAGCTACCCTTGATGAATTCAAGTAGTCTGGCCCAGATGAACTACAGCCTTGAGTACTGAAAAAACATGCAAATGCCATCCCTGGGTCACTACCAGTGATATTTGAAGGGTCATGGAAAGTAGGAGAGGCACCACAGGGCTGGAGGACAGCAGAGGTTAACTTGATGTTCAAAAAGGAAGTGGTCAGTGACCAGTGAACTTGCTTTCAATTTCTGGGAAAATTCTGGAATGTATTATTAAAGTCAAGGTTAACGACCTTTTAGAAAAAGAAGCGATGATCACAGAGTGGAGAACAGGTCATGAACAGCTAACCTTGTTTTCCTTTTTGATAGGTTTCTCATATTGGCAGTTCAGAGGACTGCTGTAGATAGGAGTTTAGTGAGATTTTAGCAAAGCATTTACTAAAGTATCTCACTTTGTTCTTGTGGAAAAGATGGAGAGATATGGATTAGATAATATAATGTAGGCCATATAATATCTGCTGGATTTGGAATTGGTTGAATGGCTGGGCTCAAAGAGAAGTGATTAATGGTCACCTGTCATTTTGGGAGGAAATCATCAGTGGAATCCCCTGGGGAATTTCTGCTTAATCAACAAAGAGTAGTTTTATTTTTGAGCTTATCTTTCCCTACAGGAAAGAAGCAATGGTTTCTGGGGTTAAAATATGCTTACCTTGTAATCCTGTGTAGTTTATAGGATCCTTGTATAGTTAACCCTGTGTAGTTTAATGCTTTTTATCAGAACTTGCTCTGAAGTGTATATGGCATGCTTATAAAGTTTGCAAATGACACAAACCTGACGGGAATAGCTGACCCACTCGATGATGGAGTCAGGATCCTAAAATTTCTTGAGAGGCTGTGGCCTTGGGCCAGTTGTGATCAGGAGAAACTTAATAGGAATAAATGTAAAGTCTTACACTTGAATTTTTAAAATCCTCATAAAAACAGTTTGGGAAGGCAGCGTAATTTAGTTTGTGTGAAAAAAGATCTGGGGGTTCTTATGAACTTGCAAGTTCAGTATGAATCAGTAGGGTAAAATGGCAGACAAGAAAGCAAATGCAACTTTAATGTTTCATAAAGAGAGAGTGATACTTAGAAGGTGGAGAGCGTCCAGAGAGCAACCCCAATGGCCCGAGGGCTTGAGGTCACAGGACAGGTTGAAGGAAATGAGGGTGTTTTCCCTGCAGAGCAGACGACCTGGGGGGAGAGGAATGGGAATGGAAAAGCTGTCTTTTAGTATTTGAATGGCCCTCATGTGGGAGACGGACAGCCTTTGTTGCTTGGCCCCGCCTGCTGAGTAGGAGGTAGAGGTAAGGAGGCCCATCTCAGCTGGATGTCAAGAAAAGCGTCTTACCAATGAGATACCTCCCCGAGTGGAAGGGGCTGCCTCAGTGACCTACCCCTCTTTGAAAATCTTCAAGCAGAGACTGGATGACCCCTTGTCAGAGGTCTTGTGGCAGGGATTCCTTTGGGGTCACGACTATTGAGGTCCATCCTTTCTAGTTGTGAAATTCTGTAATTCTGGGACCAGACTCACATATCACCGGGATATAACCTACCAAGTGGGCTTTCCAAAATCCGTTGTGGAGGGAACATCACCTATGTTGGTACCCAGTACAGGAAGCACCCACGTGGATGAAATCTCAAATCTTTTGAAGTAAATAGTGAAAGATGTGTAATTAAGAAATAGTGGAATCCCCTCCCTTCCAACAGAATTTCAAAGTTAAAATTATTTTAAGTAATTCAAAAATATTCCCCTGCTAGTCTTTTCAGCGTTCTTATAAATATTAGGAGAACATAGTAAAACATTTTAATGTGGGCAGGTTAGAACATATTTTATTAGGTTAACAGTACTAAT